TCTTTTTGTAAACTAATGACTGAAATTACAAGCTTTGATTTCTGTAAACTAACGAGTCCAACTCCAAACTTTGATCTCTGTTTTCTGTAAACTGCTAGGTCCAATAGGTAAGGTATAAATTACTGTGTCCAATTCCAAACTTTGATTTCTGTTTTCTGTTAAACTAGTGAGTCTATCTATCTATGATAACAATGGATAAATTCCAAACTTTGACTTCTGTAAACTTAAGTCTAATTCCAAACTTTGATTTCAGTTTTCTATAAACTATTGTGTCCAATTCCAAGCTTTGATTTCTATAAACTAGTGTGTCCGATTTGAATTTGAAAGCAAATGAAATGTAACAGTTTTATTTCCTGGTGGTTTGTTAATCAGAATAGAGAAACAAAGCAACACTCACTCAAGGAAGTTTTACTTTAAATCTGTTACCACCCACCAAAATATCTGAGTAGAGTGATAGAATCCAGGTGTTTTTATCATCAGCTCATATCATATATTGTTTTTACCTGATGAGTATATCTATAGCTTGTAATGTCTAAATAGTACCTTCACAAATAGGTCATAGGTCAGCTATACCATTCATTTACAAACAGGCATCAAGTGAAGAAAAATTCCTGAAGTATAGCTTTTTGAGTAATAATCACTTATATCTTCACAGGTCACCTTAAAGAATGTTCAGAAGGGACACTGGATGAAATAGATTGCTCGGAAACAACAAAATTTCAACAATTATTCCAAATAAGATGAACAGAATTTTCCTTATTTAAATCATCTCATGATATATTGTGTAATATACATTATGGTGTAGATATTTGTTTAACTATAGAATATTCACTGTTCAATGTTCTATCAATAAGACTTCCCACCTGGTGTACTTATCTCATAAGTAATCTATAATAGTTTACCAGAGTATGGTATTTGTTTGCAACAAGTTTTCTCTGTTAGCTGTATTAGTCTTCCAGATAAAATATTCTGTATGGTCTTATCACACTTTTAAACACATTTTCTGTTTAATATATATACAATTAGTCCTTTAACACACTTATAAACACTCTCTGTACAATATCTGACTCTATAGTATTCTTCAAAGATATTTGAATTATCAAAGAGTGTTAAACACACTTTATAAACACTTTTCTGCAAAACTTCCAATTTGATAGTTGACTCTAACGTACTTGTTAATCACACATTTAAACACATTTTCTGTTTAATTTCAACTCAAAAGTATTCTTCTGAAATACTCCTTCCTATTTGATAGTTGACATGTGTATCACACTTTTAAACACATTTTCTGTTGAATACTTGTTTAAATTTGATATTTCATAAGCATAAATTACCAACACAGAGCATTTAACACAATTTTAAACACATCTGTCATTTACCTTCTAATTAATCTACAAGTTCTATCTTGATCATATGATAACTTGACTGTTTAAAGTTTTTCACAATTGACCATCTATTGTTCTTTTCCACCATGTATGAAATCAACATCCAAGTACCCAGAATATCTTAATGTATCAATGCTGTTTGTCTTGATCTAATATCACTAAAGTTATTTTTGCTTAAAAAAAATTAGAGCACACTTCAAAATTCATCAAAACCACAATTTGTCAAATGTTGCATAACAGGAGATACACAGATAAATTTTCTCAGATATTTTCAATATGAAAACTCTTTCACCGAGTTTACAGATTTAATCTTAAATACCTTCAATGGAGATATATATAAATATCTAATGATGAATATCCAAACTTCACAAAATAACAATCATTATTGCCTTATATTCATATCTTCCATGTGAAACCATGTAAAATCTCCAGTTTATGACTGATCAAGAATACAGAAATGATAACTTGCCACAAATAAACTAAGTTAGGTGTATTCAGTCTGTTCTCTCTGTAAACACTATTTTCTTTCAAAACAACTGTAAGATATCACTGTCAAACTGTCAATACAGGCTATCTTCTATTTTCAACCTAAATATCAACAGATCTGACTGAGATTTATTTATTCTGTTACGTGGTGTATATAAGAATACACCTAGCTAGATATAATTATCATGTATTTTTATACTGATAGTAGGTCATTACTGGAGATGATGTCACACGGAAGTTTGAACACTCACACTAAGATCTATTGATAAATTATTCACATTTTATGCATAAACTGACATAATAAGTGAACGTTACATTCTTTATGTCAAAATATTACTTTCTCCCAATTTTCACTGAAAAATTTAAAGTTAATAATTTTTCAAAATTGATTTGATTGAATATCACCATTAGGAACAATATTTGTTCATTTTCGATTTTCACTTGAAATCATAGTCAAACACAATGCTACATGTATATCTCATTTGACTTTTCTTCAAAATCAGAGAACATATACTCATCCAATTTTTACACATAAAAATGTACTTGAAAAACACAATTTTTGAAAATCATGATTTTGAACTTTTTCTGGGAAATTAAATAAAATTTTCATTAAAATCAATTTACATGCTCATCATGTGTATAAAAGGTATGAATAATTCATCAAGGTAATATATAATAATGTTAGCCTCTCTTATATATATAGCTTATTCTAAGCTTTACCAGATCAGACAATCCAATACATATGAAAATATTCATTCATACGCCTTTAATCCAATTCCTGTAATTTAACATTCATATTCCATTCATATTTTTTTCCTTTTTCCTGATGAGGTTTGTTCATCAAAAACACAAGTCGACCACATAGGATATGCTCTAGACAATTTGGATCAATTCTTCACACAAAAATTATAAGTTTCAATTTTAATACAACACTTTAATATCCATTCAATTCGGCTGGTGCTTTCTCCTATGTCTCTATCACCATCATCAGGAAATCCATGGTAATCAGCAATGTATTTTTTAAAAACTATTTCAGACACCTTGCTGTCTATCTGGTCTATTGAAACAATACATCAACACAGCTGAACATAGATGAAATCACACCTAACTTTAATTAAACTACTAAATAATGGATACAAGTAACTACTGGTTACATTTTAGTTACTAATGTACTAGTATCTAACTAATAAATCAAGATAAGATAGCTTTCAAGTAATGCACTTAAAACTAGTCTATGTTTAGCTGTATAGTTGAGTAATACTTATGTATATAAATGGTTAACAATTGAATTAAATAAACAATAGGTAAGTATGGTATGCCATAAGTGCTGCATGTTTATTGGGTCAAAATTGTAATATTTAGAGAATTAGAATATATGACGCTTAAAATGGTAGTGCTCAATGAGTAAATATTTACTCTCAAAAACCAATTGTTTAATGGATGAACCTTGAATATTGACAGACTAATGCCACATGAATAAAACGTAATTGACTCTCAAAAAACAAGAAAATCTAATGAGTGAAACATGACTCCAACTATAAAACTTTACTCTCAAAAAATCTAAGTCTAATGAGTGAACCATGACTCTAGTAAAACTTGACTCTCCAAAAAACACTAAGTCAAATGAGTGAACCATGACTCTAGTAAAACTTGACTCTCCAAAAAACACTAAGTCAAATGAGTGAACCATGACTCTAGTAAAACTTGACTCCAAAAAACAATATAATGAGTGAAACATGACTCAAAGAAAATTGAATCTCCAAAAAACACTAGGTCTAATGAGTAAAGCATGAGTATATCTATACACTTAATACCATGAATGAACCTTTATTCTATGCCAATGCCCAATGAGTACAACTTGACTCTCTTCAAAAATCCGGATGAATGAGAGTTGAGTTTCAAAAGGCTTGTGCTCAGTGAGTCTAACATGACTCTCAAATAACACTAAAATCAAATAGATTAAGACAGACTCTCAAAATGCTATTAGTTATAGTGCAAAGGGAATAAAATTTAATTTTCAAAAAGCTTGAGGATCTTGACTCACTGAAAATTTTTTGACTCAACCAAAATGACAGTTGACTCGTAGTTTAGTCTGTGCAAATGAAAAAGGCTAAACTTTTGATATACTGTATTGTCAAATTATGCCCCCCATAATATCTAAAGGAAATGTTTCAATAGTAAACAAAAGGATATCATGACCTTATATACATTTCCTGAATTGACATTTTCATCTATTATTCATCTACATATTTTTGCATTTATTTTTGTGAACACACTTAATCATATTGATGGCCACATAAATTTGTTTACCAATGCAAGTTCTCTAAGTGGATAATACCCCAATTTTCAGACAGAAGATAAGCTTCTGAATGAAATAAATAAAATGTGTCACATGTTGCATTAATACTGTATTCAATATTATTGTATTTAAAATGAATAATACATGCAGCATATTAAAATGGTTTTCAATGCAACATGTTCCTTATAGGTAACAGTCTGACACCATAGAGACTCATTTTATCTATTATAACTCTTACCTTACCTTCATACATATCATTATAATATTCATGCATATCATTATATTATATTATTCTTACACATCATTATATTCATAGCTATTGATTTTTAAAAGGAAAACATCAGTAAAAATAATAATTTTTTTTCTACAGAATCTGTATACATACAAAGAAAAAATAAATCAAATGAATAATGATGTTTTGTTAGAAGGCCTACTTGAAAAATACATTTTAGTCAGGCTTAAAAGAAAAATTGAAAGTACTTTACCAATGTTCCATGTAACAAATCGATACATCCTTAAGTAAGTATTTCTCTTGCAAGTGTTACTTTATGAAGTGAATTAAATCAAAACTCCAGCATAAATAATAAGAGAAAACAATATAAGAAATGGAATGTGTCTGGTATTTCCTCATTGCTAGTAATTATTAATAATGATAATGATAAGGGTATGGGGTCAGTATATTAATATCACAGTGACAGTAACATGATAATAACCATATCCTGTCAGACTGACCACTGGTCAACAACTACATGATTTAATAATAGAACACTCTAATCATATCATAACCTGACATTTATTACAGTCTGCCTCTATCAGGATGTTCATAAATGTCAGAAGACTTCCATGATAAGAACAAACATTTTTTGGCAACTTATGCATGATTTCAGAATCAAAGTATGTATGTATGTATGAAACTCAGGCTGAGCTGTCTGAAACTCAGACTGAGCTGTCATAAACTCAGACTGAGCTGTCTGCAACTCAGACTGAGCTGTCTGCAACTCAGACTGAGCTGTCTGCAACTCAGACTGAGCTGTCATAAACTCAGACTGAGCTGTCATAAACTCAGACTGAGCTGTCATAAACTCAGACTGAGCTGTCATAAACTCAGGCTGAGCTGTCTGAAACTCAGACTGAGCTGTCTGCAACTCAGACTGAGCTGTCTTCAACTCAGACTGAGCTGTCTTCAACTCAGGCGGAGCTGTCAGAAACTCAGACTGATCTGCACTTTGGATTTTCATTCCTGAAAGTGTTCATTATCACTCAAATTTTGTTAAATACAGAAGATTATATTTAAGTGACTACATTTATTTTAGATTTAGCATTTATTTTAAAAGATCTTACCTTTATGAATCTATAACCTCTTAAAACTTAATTTGGACATTAAACTGTCAAACTGCACAAATTTAACTATGTACACAATTCCCAAAATAAATGGCAACAACTTGTTTTAAATTTGGAGAAAATAAATAGCCTTCACTTAGTTTGAAGTGTTACAAATCCATAAAACACCATTGATCTCAATTTATATTGAAGTTTAGCAGACGTATTAAAAAATTCCTTATTTGGTGAACAATTCTATAAAATTGATTTTTGTTCACAATGAATTGCAAATACGAGTAAGGAAAATAATGAAAGTTTGAGTACTATTTGAAATGTGTGTCTGCAGTCAACAAGCAGACAGTCAAAGAATGATGGGAAATGATTCATCAGATGTTATCATCAGCAATTACAGTATTGATATAATGGTTCCTATTTAAATCAGCAACATCACTAAATACCACAGCTTTATTGTCATCAAAATGTCAAATTTATTGTTCCAATTTATGAATCATTCAACGACTTGGTTACATTTCAGTGCATGATCACCAAAAATCATCCATTTTCAGTTACCCTTGACAAAAATCTACTAGAATGCTCATTCCAGAAATGAGTGATGTGCATGTACAAAATTTGACATGTTCAACCATGAAAAAGTTCAAATTTCCAAAACTATTGGTCTTGATGAGGAATTAGTATGCAAGTCATGCTTGATTACATGTACTATAATTACTGAATCTTTTCCAATCTCAAAATGAACATCAAATCAGTAAATCAGTTGAAGGCTCTGAATTCAGATCTGTATTTTCAAGAGACATCAAGATGGCTAGAAGTTGATAAAAATTCAAAATATAAACATTGTTTTAAAGGTAGAATGTTAGTAGACTAAAGGCTCCGGAAGATAAGAAAAGAAATCAAAGTTAAAGTCAACAATTGTAAAATAACTAACATGACTATACTATAGTATACTAGTCAACAGACAGTCACTAGGGTCAGTCTTTAGTAGACAGGAGACAGAGTTTACTGTAAAACCATTATAAAGATAACTTGCCTTAAAAATAATTCAAATCATTATGAGCAATGTGGACAACGGACAGATATGAGCTCAACATTTCCAAAAAAATCATGAAATCATAGCAAACAAATGAAATGAAATGAATGGAGTTTTACCTCCTGCTTTTCTGCACCATGTGGGCTAATGAAGACAGAATATATAGCAAACAAGCTTATATCATTTTAAATATAATAATATATATCAATAAGCAGATTGTCAGCTGAACAGTTTTAACTCCTTTTCAGAAATGGTATAAAAAAAAACTAATTAAGAACAGCATTTAATTTAACTTAAAAGGAGTATAAAGAGGTTTTCTTAACTTTTTACGTAAATCTGAAAGCATTAATTTGCATTCCACTCCAATTTGCATTTTATAGATATTTCTAGCAGATTTAGCATGTCTATAATCACAGGAACAGCAGACATCTAACGCAAAAAACATGCAATGCAAATGTTTGCCCTAAATTGTCCAGATGGACTCCAGACACACATAAGAAAGCTAGAAAACCTCTTTCCAACCCTTTAACCTAGCTACAATACAAATCATTATATTTTTAACCAGTAATTGTTTAATTTATCTATCTTCTACACATACATACAAACATTTCAGATACTGCAATCCTATCACTGAAGCTGTTAATAGATTGTTGAGATAGATAGAGATATGAACAGTAAAGATGTATCAAGAGTTGACGGTCAGGTACAATGGTTTACAATGGATGAGTAATAGTCTGAATGAATGATGAATAGAAAATCAATGAGAGAATAATAGATAGACAAGTACCTTACATCATCGTCTCTTACTCTACATTACTCTTCTATTGATCCATTCACATTCTGAGGTACCGGTGCTTGATACAGAATGCATGCTTGGGAATTCTGACCACACCTGTTCCTAGAACATCATATACAGATGGGATATCGACATGTTTAAGGCCAGACATAACTTGTCAATAATTTTATTGGAGTAGCTCAGTTCTGATGGCTAGTTTTTGAGAATTTTCACCTTGACAAAGACACAATTTCACACATATCACATCCAATGTAGGGGTTGGTTCAGTTTATCGGGCAAAGAAACAACATGCATGGGAATTTTGCAACCATGAAAGACCTGCCATCTCATTTTTATGCTCCTCATAGAATAATGAACACCGAGTACATTGCACACACTATTTCAATTTACATAGCATAATATGGTTATTATTGTTAAACTCAACTAATTTCCAAGCCATTGCCAAAAATTAATTATGGTAGGAAATTATTATTAATTCAGAAGAAATACCCCCAAAACTTAACTACCGTAAAATATCAAAAAAAAAATATTTGGAAACAAATTGTAAAATTGAAATAAAAAGCATAACAGGTTTAACACTTCTGAAATATAGTTAGAAGTACTTGATTCACCCAATCATAACTATCAAGCTAAAATAAAAGTTTAAAAAAAGATATCACGATTAGTGACAATTATTACCTGGTGTAACAGACGTCACTCCACTTGCTTCAAGGTCGTTTGAGTGTCGTGGCTGAATTTCATATTCTAATTTCCATGGCCTTATCATACTGGATAATTTATGTTGATATAATTTTACAAGAGTAAACATATCTGATCCAACATTATAATAACACACAGATTATTGTCAATAAATAAACTAATTATTGACTAGCAACATGAACCATAAAACAAGTACAACTCCATTTCTAAACACATCAGAGGATATGATTAAACAAATAGATGATGAACATTTGCCATGTCTAAGAATATTATCCGATTTCTTTTGTTCACATCAGTGCAAATTAATATTGGCAGAAAAACAGTTTATAAGAAAGTTTCCAAAAACTGCAACATTTCAGTTCAAAAAATCAAAACTGTTGTTGAATTTGTAACCTTATAACTGTAAAACACATTTTCTCAGAAATCACATCCTCCCTTTAACACATTGAAGGTAACAAAAAATGAGTCCATCACACAGACAAATAAAGTACAGGAGACGAAGTTGCCAAAACTAACTGAGGGATATATTTTTCAAAGATACAACTGTCTTGGCGTTTATTGTGTAGTTAATAGAAGTCAGAATGAAGTGAAACTCACCATTACCCACAGTCTACACAGTTTTGTTTATTTTCTCTGTTGATATAACAGTCTGTTATGGTATTGTCAAGCAAGATCTTGACTTGTTGTTAAAAAATCTCTGTAAATTGTAACATTAGTTTGTCATTTCCTAAATCTTATAATCTGTTGGAACTCTTTTGATGCATTCCATTATGAGTTGCTAGATTCTGTCATGGCCATAACCGTGAAGGCATGGGCCTTAATGTAATGTAAGTAATAATGTTCTTGGAAAATTCTCAGATGAGTCTCAATTGAATATTACAATGATCCTATTAGTGCAGCTTCTGCTGGGTTAAACTCTTAGCAATCAATCTTTTCTTCGCAATTGCACATCAAGAGCAATGACACCTTTTACAATTCAAAATACACATCAAGAGCAATGGCCCCTTTTACAATTCAAAACACACATCAAGAGCAATGGCACCTTTTACAATTCAAAATACACATCAAGAGCAATGGCACCTTTTACATTTCAAAACACACATCAAGAGCAATGGCCCATTTTACAATTCAAAATACACATCAAGAGCAATGGCCCATTTTACAATTCAAAATACACATCAAGAGCAATGGCACCTTTTACATTTCAAAACACACATCAAGAGCAATGGCCCATTTTACAATTCAAAATACACATCAAGAGCAATGGCACCTTTTACAATTCAAAAAACCCATCAAGAGCAATGGCACCTTTTACAATTCAAAACACATCAAGAGCAATGGCACCTTTTACAATTCAAAACACATCAAGAGCAATGGCACCTTTTACAATTCAAAATACTAAATTACTCCATTTATACAATCAATCACTAAAGTAAAAACTTTAAGCAAAAAGCGAATTCTAATTCTCACATTATGCAGATTGAATCAAAATGGTTCGAGAATCAAAAATGTTTCCACTTGAAATAATCCAATTAACTGATTTTATGATGAACAAGTATGAGTCATACGAAAAAATAACCATTTTTATTATGTCACTCTACACATTTGATAAAATATCTCTAACTGTAATTTCTGTTTATTCAATTTGTGAGATTTGAAGGCTTAAAATATTAAGTTGTCCTGTAAACTTTATTTTGATGCCAATTACATTTCTAAATTATGATAGAAACAGTCCCATTAGAGTTGATTCCATTAATCATTAAAAAAATGATGCATAGATGTCTATTCCCAATAACTTATAGTTCCATTTCAACTTTTTAATGCATCACAATCATAGAAATCCCATTCATTAAAAAGTGATAAAATTCTGCTAATTTCCATATAAATTGTCCTCCAAAATGAAAGTAGTAAATCACACGGCATTGAAATTGGCCTCTGAGTGATGAAAAGTCAGAAGTTCTCCAAGTATTTCGGTCTGTCTACTATTGATTCAAAGACCATTGCCAAGAATCATTTCTACCTAATATAATGTTTATCAATAGAGGTTTGTTGAATCAGGTATTAGCTTGGATACAAATTGCATTCACTTCACAACACACTTCTGAAATTGAGACACGTCCGGTTTGGCTGCTTCACAACATTTTTTCTAGCCCATCAATTTGGTTTGACTTGTCGGGTAAACACGCTGAAGATTCTTCAATCTCCAATGAAAGAGATAAGAAAAGTGCATGACGTTTGAAGCAGAATGGATAAATAAATAATGTACACATTCATTGTTTGTTCTATGTTTCATCTTATTTTGGAGATGTCTTATATCAAGAAGTGAGTGGGCAATGAATTAAACATAGTGCATCTATTTTCAAACTTTTAATGACTCTCCAGATTCTGAACAATTCATTTTGTAAACAATCTTTGATAAATTGGACTATGCAAAATTTGCATAAAATCAATATACTCCTATAGCATATATATTAAATTTTGAAACCAATCTTTGTTATGATATGGAAACATTTACATAAATGACAGATTTAACAACCAAGAAAGATGCTACCATCATGATTGGAATTTTTCAAATCTTAAATGACTGGCAAATACAGTCCAATCAACAGTCCTGTTAAGAATGGTTTAACTTGAAACAAAAAAAGTCTGATAATAATCAAAAGAGCTTCAGTGTCCATTTTATATATCAGTTAAAATCCTTACAAGCAAGACATTTCCATCAATCAAAAATCTCATCCAAAGTATGGCAAAATTCTACTCTATTCCATAATAGGATTAACTATACTTAAATTTAATTCCACTTGATGCCTTGATAATGTGACAAGAATTGTAAGCTTAAAATAAACAGGAATTTTGACTTGAAACTTCCTCTCAGTGTTTAACAATATGTGAATAAAGATTGCCCTGAATACTGTAGAATATTGCACCTTTAAAAAAATCTTGAATTCTATCAGATTGTCTATAACTGAATAATGAAATAGAATTATTAAAACAGAACCTAAAACCCTATGTTGTTACTCAGAGTTTCACCCTAACCGATCTTCAGACAACTAACTTTTTTAGCCTGCGTCCCTTCTGGTCAAGTTAGACAAGTAGAACTTATTCTCCAGTCTGTGTCCCTACTAACTGAATAATGACATGAATCCATCAGACAAGTCTATTTCTGGATACCGAGAAAGTTTGCTAATATTAAATCACTCACTGGATAAACCGTGGCAGTAGAATGAGTCATATGATGTACATTAAAGACACCATATTGATCTGATTCACTTATATTCCTGATAGTGTGTACCATGGCTCCATTAGTACCTTAGTGAATGTTCCTATTTTCTTTAGGCTTTGATTTTTCCAAGTCTTTCGGTGTATCCAACATCACACTAATTCCATTACTAAAACCATTATCAAACAAAAAAAATCAACTGGTATGGAGATTCTACTATAGTAAGACTATTTTATGAAAAGTCTTCAATTTTGTTGCACTTGCTGGCAAACCTGAAGGTCCAGGGTTCAATTCCGGTATAGGTGGAGATGATACCTTCGGATTTTTCAACCCGGTTTCTCCCTGTCAGTGATGCCAATAAGAGGGAATGGAAAATGCATCCAGTTGTTCAGATGGGACATTAAACAGAAGCCCTGTGGACAGTGTAATTTGTGATGTTTGGTGTAATAATGAACATTGTATTCGAGTATCAGCAATGCATCTTAATGGCATTAAAATTAGAACTGGTTGTTTTCGAAAGAATAAGACAGTACCTACATTTAGAGTATGTAGTGTAACCAATGACTTTTTTCCTCTGTGTCTAGAACTTGACAAATAAAATTGGAAACAAAGCCACAAATACTATAGAAACCCTGTTTAATTAAGTCAGATATCAGATAAAGCTAGAAATGTAATAAATTATTAAGAGCTAACTAGATAATGTTCAGACTATTTTAACTGGTGTCTGAAAAAGAATCAGCTCTGATACTACTGATTTGATTAATTATTTAGAATCTTTTAATCAACATATCAAATTATCTTTATTCTCATGTCTGACCACAATGTTAACTGAATCATGTTTTGCTAATCCTATTTAGTATGGTTTGAAATAACAACTTTAAAATAATAAGAGAAAGAGATGGCCATGGTAAGATGAGAATACTTAAGGATGAACAAAGGATTAATTAAAAAATGAATTTAATGAAGAGAATTTTAAAGAAACAGATACGCCATTTTGATCGGTAAATTTTCAGAATCAGAAGTACTAGAAATGTACGAAAATCGCATAATTCCTTCAAAACTATCTCAAACTAGGAATCTAATTCCTTCAAAACTATCCCAAACTAGGAATCTCTTTTCCTATTTCTATAGATGTCTTTTCTATATATATGGCATAATCTCAAGAAAGTATGACTTGTCTTCTTTACTTCCAAGCCCAGATGGATTTAAAGGATCAAAAAATTTATGAACCCATATATATTCTAAGACAAGTGGCATACAGATGAAAATTTTATTTGGAATATTTGTGTTCTGACAGAAGTAATTAAATTCTGAGCTCACTGTGGTCAAAAACAGTATTACTAAATGGAAGTTCAGACAATTAAGCTTTTTATATTGAATTGTACCATAAGACACATTTTAATGTCTGCTATTAAGAGTAAGACAATGAGCTTTATCATCTGGTGAAGCAAATATATGTACTGGTACTTAAAGAACTCTCCTTGTTAAGTGTTAACTATAAGTGATTTTAAGTAGGAGAGTGTCTTAACACCATATCAATATCACATCTAGGAATGCAGTTATCATCTTTGGTTGATAGGCTTAAAGAAATATGTTTTTTTTTATCGCTAAATGTTCACTCTTCAAATTTCAAAATTTCTATGGAAAGCTGAAAATTTGTAATGTTATAAATAGGTATAAAAAAAGGTTAGAATCACAAAACAACCTGGAAAACAGAGCAATGCCATCCACAGGAATGTAAAATTAGATGACTAAAAATATCAAACCTTTCATCATCCTGAATTTCACTATGCACATCTTTCTCATGAGATGATATTTCTCATTTCTCTTCCGCCCTATTTGTGACAATAGACAGTCATCATATACTTTTTATTCAAATAAACCCAAAACACTTTCCCTTTCACCATAAAGTATTTAATTAAGCACAATAAAATGTCAATACCCATGCCCTTGATTCAATAACATGCAATGGAGCTTCTTTTAGGTTTAATAAAGTTTCCTCCTTCTTAAAGAAAAGTTGTTTCTTATTTTCTGAAAGAAACCTTTTTGCCATGATATCCTACAAAAATAATCTGACCATGTTCTATACCCTTGGGTTCCTGATATCTTATCAGATTATTCCATGTCTTAAATTTGTCTGTTATCATCACAGATCTGTGAAATGCAGCCTTAGAATTCAATAATCAAGACTACCGTTATTCTAATTCAATCATGACATTCAGCCTGTCTCTAATTCCAGATGGTTTACAGAAGCTATAGTATGGTATTCGGTTAATGTGATAAATTTTGCTGAGTTGACAAGAATTTAATTTTCTCTGAGATTGAATAAAATTGGTTGGTTGTTTAAACACAAATCAGCATAGATCTTTTTATGACATGGATTTTGGTCTTTTAAAAGACTTTGTAGAACTGTCTAACTGTTTAATAAATGAAGGTAATCAGGTGTCATACATATTCAATTGATAAGCTTATATCAGTAGCAGTTTATCTGTATTAAATGCAGAGCTTTTAACTGAACAAAAGTTTGTTCTTTTGGCTACAGCTCTAATTGAAAGTCAAACAGTTGGCATTTTGTCCCTTTGGAAATCACCTTAAAACAGAATTGATCCAGTGGTCATTTATTTTTTTCAAGATGACCTAATTCTATATTAGGTTCTGTTTTAATATTTCTATATTCCTTTATATATATATAAAATCTGTGCACATGTATGTATATATATGTAATAATTTGAGATACCCTAAAATAAGCAGTAAGCTTAGTATAAATTTTTATCAATAAGCTCACCTGAGAAATCTCTAGAATCATCTTCTCCATTTACTCCTACTTCCTGTTCTGTGGATGAAGATGCCATATTAGTTAGAAGCCTGTCTCCACCTTAGACACTGTCCTCTTTATCAGTCTCCTTTCTCTTCCTTATAATGTACCTTTACCTGGCACCAAATCTTTACCTATAAAATCAATACATCATAATAACTGGTTTTGCAACAATTCCTGAAATTGCATATGTCATGACAATCATGGTGATTCATCACAGGTTGAATGGAAGCTACCTTGGACATGGTTATAAAGTAGGTTTAGAATATAGTATATCTATGAGGTTTGGCACAACCTCTCTCAAAAATAAAATAGAGTTTTGGATTACTGGTATATGTTTTCCCTACAAGCTGTTTGTGCTCATGACAACCAGCAATGTCAGGAATCAGAAAAGCTTTAGGTCAGCCTGTTAAAACACAATTTAATTGTTCAAATATTAAGGAATCTGGTATGAACATTGTCCTGTAAACAATGGGGATTGAGAGGTGTCTCTCCAAGATCATATCTGAAAGGCCGTTAATGCCATTTGAAGCCATGCATTGGGCCTGCTATAGGTCTCCATCAGCAAACAGATTCTAATTCTAATAATAATAGAAGTTCTATCACAGAAATTTAAGCTAAGTCAAGATTTCTGAAATGGTTAGGCCTATTGAGAAATTACATTCTTTATTGATATCGGCAACATGTCATTGAATGGGGTCCCATGGGATAGTCATAGGCCTACTGATTACTTATGTCAACTTAGCCACAGCAAAAGCATAACCGATAGGTGATATCACCATTCAATATCACCATTCAATCAATAAATATTAAAAGTTTTTCTTTGACAGCCGAAGAAAAACTTGAAAAGAAAATCAATGAATGAATGTGTCATTTATATCTTACCAAATCTATCATTTGGTGCGCCAAATCTCTTTTATTTTCTGAATGTCAAACACATAAAATATCCGGTTGGTCAAGAAGAACACTAATTCTACACAGTTATTATTGAGTCGTTTTCATATCAAAACAAACATGGCGTCGATGGCGACAACGAGGTCAACTGGTCATGTGACAATCGAGCACCTGTTACGCGGACTTGAGAGAAAGCATCAATTGTCAGTTTTGGGCCTGAAGGGTGTATGAAAGGCTAATTTTCACTTGACTTAGTCGCCGATTATTTGACGATTAGGGTTTTGAGATTTTAATTATGTGAGTACTTATATAATATACTGTCAATTATGTATAATTGGCGGCCCCAAGACCTGTCAATGAAGTTAACCGGCCAGTTTGTCACTTTTAATCTGTCATATGATATGAATTCATGGGCGTGGCTATTTTTCACGCATCTCTGAACTTGAGACTCTCTTATGAAGGAATGTGCACGATTTTCATTCAAATTTGGGTTGGGCTTTTCAATTTTGCTTCAGTATGCTTAATCATATTTTCTGATTGATTTTCAACCGTATATGGAGAAAATAATAATTTCAATAACATTTGCTCTAGATCTATTCATTTGTTTCCAAGTTTTCTCAGTTTATGCTCGAAAACATAACGAAATTTCGCACCCTATGCTGTGGAAGAGCGATGTTAACTCGTAAACTATGTTACTGTCCTCTTTATGTTCAAATATCTCTAGCTATACTTAAGGGGGTATAACCGGTTTTTCATTTATCAAAGCCTACGGACTAATATGATTTTAACCGATCTTAGATGACGATTATTTTTCTACTATCTATTAAAATGACTAAGTTTATAAAAAAAACTCAAAAAATAAACTCGTCTTGTTATTATTTTTATTCTGCTTCATAGAACAATTTTTAGTCGAAATTTGGGATGTAGTCTGATAACTTATATATTGGCCTTGCGTTTGTGCAGCATGTTTCTATTTGGATAGCCGATAGATCAATAGGCCTATATTTAAATAAATGAAAACTTATAAAACTATATCTATCAAAGTTGAGTTTTTCTGACACAATTATTAGGTTACTGTTTTGAAGCTTACATTCCTTTGGGACAAAAAAAATAATGAATGAAATATTATTTTCAAATGATAAATTCCTATCACAAACACAAGATAGTATTATGGAATAAGCAAACTTCTTTAATACAAATATTAAACACATAATATGATGACGATACGTGTAATTTGTGTTGAAACGATTTGTGTTAGATATCATATTAAAGAAGTGTGGTTATTATATAATATTGTCGTGTGTTTGTGATGTGTACCCTTCACTTCTAAATATCATTCCATCATTTTATATTATTAATGGGAAGTAACTGAGTCTTTCCCTTTCTCTTCGGACAACAGTTATTCATCAATCGTTTTGAGATATCATTTTCTACACCAAGTTTTTGCTTTCCATTTTCAAAACGCAGTTTACCATCATTTTACCTTTGCATAAAACAAAACTATCGTGTCCATCTACAGCTAGCAAATTAAAATTACTTTCGTTGTTTAAAAGCTATTTAGCTGCGAGTGATATAGATGACCTTAAAGTGATACTTCGTATTAAGTTTAATATATTCTAATCCTTATATATAGATGTTTATCTTTTCAGAACCTATTCATACTCTTTTCTTTTAGAACTGGTAACAAGAAAACTTTCATATTATAGACTTTTGTTTATTGTAGATTACTCGTGGTTGTTTTTTTAACTTAATACTAACTATGCTAACTTCACCATATCTTGTATTGAACATTTATCTCTTTATTTGTGACATTGGCCAGTGCTTTACATAGAAGTTTTTAGGAACTTCTTCACTCTGAACACTACGTCTTGGAATGAACAATATCTCATAAAGTTACAACAGAATCCCTTTTTAAGAAGGGAAAATTGGAGAATTCATAAAACTAAGTAATAAGTGAAAGACGCTTTATCTTAATATTAATGACACCAGGTATATCTACTGATGAATATATGCTCTTATTGACCAAGTTTAAAATTCTTAAATTTTATGTTCATTCAAAGTCGCAATATTCCTTTAAAGTGATACTACGTCTTAGAATACACTCGTTCTGTGGCTAATATTTGTGTTTAACAGTGACCATTGGTTAAATAAGTATGCATCCCACACTTTATCAAGTTTTAAAAAGCGACAATTAAACTATAATCATAATTTTTAAAAAAAAGTGAGCAAGCGACAAGTCCGTTCAGTTTGAGAAAAAAAGAGTCTGGGTAATCAACGCTAAAACAGGAAACAATCATCTTCCGGTGTATAAAAACAAACTTTGCCAATGATTAATATTCGTTGAAAATTGTGTCAGTGGTGGAGTATTTATTCTAAATTATATGAATTGTTTTTGCGCGGAGTCGCTTAATCTCCTACGAGGCATCATTATTCCGTCTTCAATATATGACAGTGTCGAGGTCAATTCAAGAGTAGAGGTCAAAGGACGCGGGAAACCCCACTTGAGAGTTACTTCCCCTTGAAAATTAGACCGGATTTCCTAGACTCACGATTTGAAAATCGCTTAATGGATGTATTAAGCGTTTTATAATTAATTACTTGATTTTGTGGATATATCGGATTATAGGGGGATTTTGATGTATAGTTAGGACACCAGGTAAGTCCACTGATGGATATATACTGTTATTGGCCAAATTTGAGCAAAATTAAAATTTTATGTTCATCCTAAGACGTAGTATCCCTTTAAACGAGTGCTTATGTCGTATGGAATATATGGAATGAGTTGTAGGATTTATTACAATATTGTGGTTTTTTAAGATAAAAAAACTGTTCCCTATTCATATTGTATATTATATAGGCTAAGTGTGTTGATCATTACGTAGAAGTTATATCTTGTTATTTTATCTTACAATAATTCGCTTCGTTAGTTTGGAGCCCTCAAGTAATTGTTTGAAATCCGGTCTATAATCCAATTTATGTAAATCAAATAATATTCTTAATTTAAGACTATTCTTTTGTTTAAAATTTCATTTTGTCTCTGATATTTTCTGGATGTCGACCAGCTTCGCATTTTGGCTATTTTTTGATTTTATGGTTCTGATATGATATTTTGAAATTTTATGATTATGCTCATATTATATTATATTTTATGATTGTGCTAATACGATGATATATTATATTAATTTTATCATTGAGCTCATATTATATTATATTTTATGATTGTGCTAATACGATGATATATTATATTAATTTTATCATTGAGCTCATATTATATTATATTTTATGATTGTGCTAATACGATGATATATTATATTAATTTTATCATTGAGCTCATATTATATTATATTTTATGATTATGCTAATACGATGATATATTATATTATATTTTATCATTGAGCTCATATTATATTATATTTTATGATTATGCTAAAATGATATATTATATTAATTTTATCATTGAGCTCATATTATATTATATTTTATGATTATGCTAAAATGATATATTATATTAATTTTATCATTGAGCTCATGTTATATTATATTTTATAATTAAGCTAATATGATATTATATTTTATGACATTAAGATGCTGAGACCACAATTTTCGTCACTACTTGTACATAAATAAGAGACATCTTTCGAAATATTTAACGAGACCGACCACAAGTCTTTATTAATCTAGTTAAAGCATCTTCACAATGGCCTAGGTATTGCGCACCTCGTCTTATACCTTGACTTCACTATCCACCTTTCTGTATCACAGAATACAGCGATTTGATTAGATTTTGCGCAAGGGAATATACCCAATAGTAGCTGATAGACTGACTGTAAATAATAATATAATGACTTGGTTTAGAGACTTTCTGTGGAGAACTCTGATTGGCTGTATTCACAAACGTACAATCCTACCAAATTGCTGAAATTACAAACTTAGTGATACACGAAAGGTGACTATCACAGTCAAGGTATAAGACGAAGTTCGTTATAGCCTGACTTTGTGAAGATGAGTTACACAGGATGAAACAAGTTTGATATTATCTGCTAAGATTGATTAGACTATTTGCAGACCCTCTCTGTTTGCAGGGAGATCAATATAACAACCACATGGAATGGTGGAAGTATAGACCATAAACCAGTTAAAATACATCTTACCCCACATAAAGAACGAGATCTCAAGTTGACAGTACAGGCACCATATTTTGCTGATCCAGCACCTTCTGGTCAGGCAGGTAGACCTTTCCCCGAACTGTGGAATTACGAAGGTATGTATAGGAACGTAATATTGTTTAAGATTTTCGATTGGTACGGCGAAAGGAATTGTAGACACGAGCGAATTTTTTGAGCAGTGTGACCCCGACTTAACTGTAGTTGGTCCACCAGTCAATGCTGAAAGAGGTTGGATATTTGACTATATTACTATACAAACTGCGCTACTGAGGACGAATAGTAGACTAAAGATGTCATTATTGACAATGAAACGAAAAGATGGAGAAATAAATTTCACATAATAATATGTCAATAAACAAACTCTTGCGTCCTCTATTGACATCAAATATAAAGTCATGTCCCAATTGCTCCCCGATGTTTTAAGGTCAAGATATTCAAAAATAATGAAAGGAAATGAAGATCCCTGTTCCAGACATGGAACACTTTTACCACTTACATACAATTTAAATCTTCTCTTTAAAAACCGTCTGGCATTTTTCTTAAAACTGTAATTTAAATAAAGTTTATTTTATTTTTCACCATTCTTTTTACAGTTGTTGAACTCTTCTTGATGAATAATAAAGACCGCTATCTGGAAATTGAGCTTTCTCCGTAAGTGATGTTTTTTTTCTATTTTCAATCAAACAATTAAAAAAATATATTGAGACACAAACGAGTGTTTGATAACGTCACTAATGTATGCTTGTATTACGTAGGGCTCTGTCGATTAGTGACGTCATCAATCACTTAGTTTTAGTGGAATTGCAGGAACCACAGGTGACTGATTTGTACTTAGGATTGTGCAAATTGATGTAATCAGTGTCCCCGATACACATACAAAGTTGAGAAAACCTATTTACAATCCCTTTATTACAGTCACAATTTCAAAATATATCAAAAAGGAAATATCGGATTTATATACTGGAAATGGCATGTCAAGGGAAAACGACTCTCTGTAACGACATTATTAATTTGATAAACATGTAGAAATCAGAAACCTAATGGGTTTAGGGAATAATTACAGTAATGAATTGAAAAAAAAAGGTTGTTTTCGTACTAGAAATGTCTGTTTTTATGGAATGAGTTGAAAGATATTAAGTCTGGTGTATAGTGTTTAAAGTGAAATAACGACTGATCTACATCATCAATAATTAACGTATCTTATTAATTAGTGTGTTTTAATCTCATCTTATCATAAAATTGTGTGGAAAATAAAAAGAATCCTAATTTCCCTTGATCGAAAAATATTTAATATGAGTTATTGCCCTTGTTTTTGAAACCCTCGTAAACACTCTAGAAGGTGCAATTCATGACGGATTTTAATGAAACTTGGTGTGAGTGTTTGTTACAACCTATTTAAAATCAGAAAGATCGAAAAATAATTAGTTCTTGCCCTTGTTCTTGAAAACGCGTTCAATTTTAGCTTGTCAACACTCTAGAAGTCACAATTATTGATGGATTTTTGACGAAACTTGGTGTGAGTGTTTGTAATCACCCAAGGATAAAGCCTATTGAAAATCAGAAAAATCGAAAAATATTTAGTATGAGTTATTGCCCTTGTTCTTGAAAACTCGTTCAATTTGTAGCTCGTAAAAACTCTAGAGGGCATGCTTCTCGCACTTAAGATTGAATATTTGTCTTCTAGAGTTTTCATGAGCTAAAGATTGAACACGTTTTCAAGAACAAGCGCAATAACTTATACTCAATATTATTCAGTATCGCCCTAAAAAGTTAAAAAGAAGTGTATGACTGAAGGTTGAATATTTCATACTGGTGATTGTTACTGTAGTGCTAGATATTTTTATTCAAAATCAAAGCTGCCAGTGGGCGTATATTACCTTGCCTGGCAAGCTTTCTTCTTTTCGGGCATACGCGAGATTTTACTCAAGATTCGAGTCGGTGATAAAAATCTCCGACCAAGACCGCTCGTGTGACGCATCCTAAGGTCCGTTGAGTCCTAAGGAAAACTGTCTGTTGAGTCTTAAGTAGTCTGTCGGGTTCTAACATTATTATACTGAATATGACCAAAAAATAGTCATCTCATACTACGAATGGGTAACGTACACCGATATTGACATTGACAATTGCAGAGGGCATTCATTTTCACATATTTCCCAAAGAATTTTGTCAACTACAAAGACTTCTGTAACTGAAATAGTTCTTGATATATTATAGGCATGGTCAACATCTGGTTTTATTACTCAGTGCTAGAAGAAAAATGGTCAAGGTAATATTCTTCAGATTTATTAGTCGGTTTGTTCACGGATCCGGTAAACAGCGTCTCAGCTATCATAGGGATTGACTGAACCAAGTCCACTGGCACCCTACCCCCAGAACAAATATTAACAGGCATTAAATTTACATGCATAGAAGTCTCAGAATGCAGGAGAGAAATTGTTGATAATAAATTCCCCGGGGTAGGGGCTCAAAATTACGTTCCCAACACATCTAGTTGAGCCACTACCCCTGCAAGATCAATGTGTTTGAAGGTGTTCATAGCATTTTTGACATCTTATCCTGGTTGTTCGGGACTAAAGGCTATTTTGAATGAAGTCAAATTTAGCTCAAACTTGGTAAGGCATTGATATCCACGACCCAAATCAACCCTCGAGAATCTGTCCCTTTAAAACTACATATTTTCCAGACGAACAATTTGAAAAATGGTGATTCGTATTTTCAACAAAATGTTTTACATTTTAAAATTGTGTTGCCATAGCAACAATATTTATAAAAGACAACTATTAAGGAAATAATTATCTAGTGAAATGAATTTTTTGTTAAAATATATCTGCAGTTCGTAAATAATTTCATTTGTATAATTTAATTAACAAAATCTTATTTAGTCACGCAGTAAATTTGTCACATTATTACGATCACAACGTAAGCCAGTCATAGTAACATATCCAATAATTTGCCACTTACAATGATTACAAGGTTAATTGGTCACAAAATAAGTTTGGATACAAGAGTAATTGGTCAGTGATTTTGCCACGAGGTAAAATGGTCACAATAGTGTTACAGTAAATATTGAGACCTTATTAATGTGAGCAATTTACCCTGTGACTTCTTTTTTGTGACCAATTTGCCTTATTTTCTATTTGGCAAGATTACTTTGACCAATTAACTGTGACAAAAGAACTGTGATCAATTTACAATGTGACATGTGTACCTCTAAAGATTTACCATTTTATGACAAATGTACTGTGACCAATGAACTTTGTGACTTATTTTCGTGACAAAAATTTCCTTCGACCAGATTACCATGTTACACATTACACATGCCCATTAAATATGCTTGACTTTCTCTTTCTAAGGATGAGTTACCATTGGTTTATTCAGCAACCATTAAAGGTGATCAGTGGCATGGCGAGGCATTGATACCACTAGATTATTTACCACCGAATATCACAAAGTTTAATGCCTATGCTATACATGGTGTTGATGAACAGAGAGTATATGAAGCCTACTCTCCCGCTATTGGCTCTTTTACTGAACCTGATTTGTAAGTACTCTTCCTTCCTTTTGCTTTGAGCATTCGTGTATTTTTCTCGACATGAATTGTTTTAAGATGCCCACACACGATTACTAGTTACATTCGAAATTTATAAGCGGTATTCCTTTTCGCAACCATGCGCAACTGGTGATCGCTATGATCACTTTAAGTGCACACCTTTCACAGGCTGAACATATTCTAGACAATGTTTTTCTTATGTAGGCTTGATGATTTGACTAGGCATTCTAACGAACTTCAGGCGAGGTTCCAATTGCTCTTTATCTTAATGTTGGGCATCTCGTTTTGCTTTATAGGGATTACAAAATATTTAAGAAAAACCCCCACTTCTTTGCTTTTTCCTTAGAAATGATTGACGACCTGGTTGTAAACAATTCAAATTCGTGACCACGTGTAGAAAGGGGCAGTAAATCGAACACACCCCTTGTTTGAGGAAGTTAAGAATTACTTCCATGAGGTAAAAATTAGGCTGATTTTTGCCTCTTATTCAGTGTCCTCGAAGATGACGAGTTGATTAAGTTAATTTTGGTAATCGTTGCCTCAAACATAGAGCATTAACTAATAAATACTGTAAATACCATCAAAATTGGAGAGTAACTCGCAAGATAACTTGATGTACCGTGTGAACATCATCGATGTTAAGTCTTCAAAGTATGAATCCTATGATCAAAGTTTAATTGAAACTTATTACTTGATTAACGCTTTGAACCGTCGAGTTGATCATCTCGTTGAAGATTGCTCATGACTCGTTAAAGGGATTGTAAAGAGGTTTTTCTAAACAAAAATTATGTGTATCGGGGACACTGATAGCACGATTTGCACCATTGCAATTTTCATTCGAATATCTCTCGTTCCTGTAATTCCACTAAATCTAAGTGTTTGATAACCTCACTAATTTCGAAGAGCGTATTTTGATACCAGCATATTTTGCAATTAGTGACGTCATCAAACACTGTTTTTGTGGAATTACAGGCAACACAGACGTTTGACTTGAAATTGGAATTGTGCAAATTGATGATAACAGTGTCCCCGATACACAAAAAAAAAAATAATGTAGAATTCCTTGAATGACGTCTCGAAATTGTTGATTTAATGTGATTGAAGCCTTGACCGGCCTTAGAAACCCGAGTTTTAATCTTGGTAATAGGAGTAATAAGAAGCCAGAGTCATATGTGATTAATTTTCTCAGCTTTTCCTCTTCCATCGTCATGTCTAGTAATTTACCTAAATTCCTTGCCACTGGCACTGCCTGACATTCCTAATCATCTTAATACCATGTATGACATTATAGAGTGATCCTAAATGTTCAGTAAAATGCACTTTGATAATACGAAATTTGTTAATCCGTGACGTCAACGACGAAGAGACACTCGTGACTCGACTTACTGCTTATTAAATTATAGTGACCAACCCGGGATTCTTTTGCTAGTACCAAAAATGGAAATTAATAGGCTTGGATTGTCTTAAACGTTTTATAGCAGTAGTCATACTTCATGGATGAGGGACCTTTGAAAAAGCTTTCGCCAGCGAGGAATCGAAAACGTTTGAAATCACGGAGCGAACAACAAGTGGTCACTTTAATACGTTTAAGTTCATATAAGAATTAGCCCCGTTTCAAATCAGTTTATTTTTTTTCTAAACGGAATTAAAAGGCAGTTTCGAAAAAAAATTGCATGTGTTTATATGCATTGCAAACGTCCGTCTAAATGCAATCGAATTTCCGCACACGTGGTGAAATAAAGATACTATCTACAACCGAAAAACAAAAAGGTCGAGAATTTCCACTAGAAATGACTAAACCAGTTCCATAATCATGTTAGTATGAGGAATTGAAGAGAGTCTCTATAGCTCTTTTATATATATCTGGCCCATATAAATTATATATGCACCATTCTGATTCTCAGTCTGGCGCTTTTCTGGAATTACTGGAATCAAAGTCGTCGGTCTGCAAATTGGAAATGGTGCCATAATAAGCTATATTTTGGTATTTATCTTGAATTATTTCCACAGATAATCGTTTCCATGTCATCTGACACAGACTATGGAAATTAAAGAGTCATAATTTCTTTCTTTAGAAATATTTTTTATGACAACGACCTTTAAAAAAATTATCTTTTCTTTTCATTGCAGCCACAGATTGGAGTTTTTCAAACCGTGTGATATGTCTGTGTTTTCATCATATAAACCTGCTCAAATTAGTGATATCTGGTCCGAGATTATTTCAAATTGATCATTTCAAAATCCATGGTTTATTCATTAAAGATTCTATTTTAAAAGGACATATTTGCCGTCCATTAGACGAATCGTATTTTATTCCCAGAACCGGAATTTTGTAGCAATAAGCAGTAGCCTAATATTGTTTACAATGTTTTACCGTCGAAATGCGAGTCTTTTTTCAAATCCGTTTCATGTGCAATTCCTTATATATATGATTGATGAAAACTTATCAACCTATCAAATCTATCATACAGTACCACAATTCCATCAGAGAGATACAGGGTTGATCTTATCTTTCTGGAAGGTCGTTATTGTAATAAAGATTAGGACAGTAGTAAATACCAATGGAAAAGATTAACAATAGAACATTGACATTATAAAGGATTTGCTTGGATTTATCTCGGATTAGCTTTTTACCCCATAAAAACCACCATTCCAGAGAAAATAGATTAAAATTGTCTTCTCTGTTTTATTTCATTATTGCATGATTTCAATAATATAATTGTTTCCATCGCAATCATATCTATAGTGTAAACTATCGAGCTTGTAATCTCTACGAGTTCAACTTGTAAGATTCCAAGGACGTTTTGTATGTGTACTAGTGGAAGTAGAAGCCTCTTAATGGACCATTCTGATTTCCCGACCGACATTAGCCTCTTTTCCAGCCTCTGTTAGCTATTTTGAAAGTTGTCGGCTGGTGTAGAGACAGAAAAACTGGGCCCCGTTTTGTGGATATTTCCCTCACCTTCGAAGTTTACCCTACCCGTAAAACAACAAAGTCCACGGTCCATGACTTTGCTAATCCCTAGCCTGTTACCTGAAAAACCCAAGAAACACAAACAGATTGAGATCTATTATTTAATTACATATTTATTTAAATCGGATTCGCCGAACCCAGATATATTTTATCAAACCATCATAATCCCCAAACACCATTTAGGTCTCATCTGCGGGTCGAGTTTTTATTTAGCGAAACTGATCCCTCGTCGGCCATTTAAAATTTTGTGGGTAGTCAAAATTTTAAGTGTCACAGAGTCAGGTGATACTTACAAAACCAAAGTTGCGGTGATGCCCAACACTACTTTACAGTCATCGTAAAGGTAATTTAAAATAGAAAAAAACGCATCTTCGGAGATGTAGAAAATCTCTATTAAATAAGGCCAAGTTATAGTCAACATATCTATCAGAGGCTGTTAAAGAGGCAGATGTTATGGACTAGACCCACATCTGTGCTGTTCTATGTATATACACAAGAACTTTAACAGGCCCGATTCCGACGTCATGACGTATGTACTTAATTCCCAAGAGCAAAGCAAAGATACATTCCTCTTGGCGAGTATACAATTATACTCTGCACAATAGATAAAACGAAACAAAAAATGAAAAAATTACATAACTAATTGTTGATATACATATTAATGCATTTCTCAATATTTGTATTCAAATTAATAATGCTTTCAGATACGTTTACCTATTCCCACCAAACAAATACTATTACCGCAGCAAATGTCAAAAACATTGCGGACAAAACTTGATATCCAATCAAATAAGTTAGCAAACTCAATGAACAACAGTAAAGTTATTCTTCATTTGGAAAATTCACGTTCGAAGGGAACAGCTGAAAAGCTCTTCTGAGGCTGCCAACATGCGCATAAGAACCTCATCATGATAATCGGTTTGGAATACTTCTTCTAAGAAGAGTAATCTAGAAACTTATTTACCAGTCCCTTCAATATCCCTGCACGGAATTTTTTTTTTTTTTTTTTTTTTTTGCATTTATAGTTCTTTCTAAATGTTCGAAGCTTAAATGTTACCCATGTTGTTTCTACTAAATATTTTCTCGCAACGGCATTATACTATGCCATTGTGTAGTACTGGGATATTGAAAGACTTGATTTCCTTTTTTCATACTTTGTTGGGATTTTACTCAAATTTGAAGCCGCTATTACAGGTGCATAACAGATTGTATCAAAGAAATAAATATATCAATCTATTACATAGCGCACATTAATCTTCAAATTTTACCGTTCATTGATGCGAGGAGCATTATGAATTTAAATAAAACTACGCTTAGCATTAGAAATGTGTTATGGTCCTGAGGCGCTGCAGTGACATTGAATCTTTTGTAGTTTGCGGTGAGATAATCTAACACTAATCCTGACATCTTGACACCGGACACAAATGTATTTCAATGATAAAAAAATATTGAGACCGATTACTTTATTTACAAACATGACATTTTATCTCTTATTGACCTATTAGTTCTATTTGGAATCATAATGGAGATTTCAATTGGAAACGTGACTAAATGATTTCCGGTACGGGTATTAAAATGATATTCCGTCCAAATATTCCCAGTCTTAATCACTTTCAAAATGGTTGACACTAGCCTGAATACAGTGTCTATCCTTGGATTAATTCTTAGTGTGGCTTTCCTTGAAGGTATGTTACTAATAGGTTTAATCTTTCAATCATACTAAAGGTATTACTTTGAATGAATGAATGAACCTTTGATCAAAACTGCAATGCGGACGTTACGTTTGAAAAATACTAAGATCCTTGGTTATACGCAGATACCTGTGGTCTGTCTATGTACCACCAAAGTAGGTGTTTCGTTTCCTGTTTCAATTCACTCGCCATTCACGATTATACTATTTATTATTATTATTTATTATGTATCTTCTTGATCAAACTATATTTGTTTCATCAAGAAGATACAAAGATATAAACGAAAAAAACGGAGAGTACATGTACAACTTATTAATCAAGCAGTTTGACGTAGTTTTGTGGTTTTCCAACTGCTTTCAAAGGCATAACGAACTTAAATTCCTAACGTCATTTTTGGCATTTAAAACAGCTAGACTTTTTTATTTAAAACTTTTAGATATTATGATGTTAAAGGGCACATTTCTCTAGATTTTGGTGTATCCTTTTCACAAATTTCAAAAAAATTTCGACTTGCAAAAAAAAAGCGGAGTGTCACTTTAATATCCGCTTCAAAATATTAAGTAACCTGTATGTCGTCGAATGGCTTTGCTTTGATAAAAATATAAACATAAGTATACATCATACCTTTGAAATCTGTTTTTACAGAGGTCAATGTTCGGTCAATATTCGACATTCTGGAGGGGAAATGCGCTTATATTCTATGTAGACAGTAAGTAGTGCTGTACACAAATTTCGTCAGATCATGGATGATATGCGGATTGACTATCTCGAATAACACGATGTTACACTTCTATATGTGCATATTAATCAGATTGGAAACAATAATGATGTCACAATGCCTGTCACAAATCTGCTTTGCTTATTAAGCTGGATTTAAAATTTCAGTGATTGACCAATCAAATAACCGGAACAAAAATTCATCCTGACTTGTTAACACCTGGTCCATAGATCACAATTTATACATTTTAGTCGGTCGTGGTATTTGCTGGTGTCCTCGTGTAGCACTTATGAGCGGGATTAATGCCTCAGGTTGAGAACAAGTAAAGGATTTGTGTAAAAATGACTTTTTGACGTTCTATTGTAGGTCATCTTATAACAGACTTGGTGCTGGAAGATTGTGCTGAACCTTCCTGCAAGGGACGTTGTTTCCAAGAGAGATTCAATGCAAGTGCTAACGTATTTCAATGCAGATGTGATTTAAATTGCTCTGTCTATCAGGACTGTTGTTATGATTATAATGAAACCTGTACTCACATCCAAGCCTCTACTGAACCTTTAGAGATACAACCCAACACGGATCTCGAAATTTTGCTCATAAACGAACATTTGACTTGTAATTCATTAATAATAATACATAATGTGAGAAGGGCTCATTATTGGATGATTGGGAAATGTCCAAAGAATTACCCTCAGGACAAGCTTAAAATGCGCTGTGAAGATGTTGAAGCCCATCCTTACTCAAAGGTTCCTGTAACAGCAGCAGTGACCAAGCGGCACTTTCGTAATATATATTGTGCATTTTGTCATGAAGGAATCTCTTTCAGGAGGAGCAAGTACATCTTCTGGAAATCTGATATATTTTGCAAAGATAACTATTCCCAAGTCACTTTCTCAGATATCTCTAAGAAGTTGGAAAACGGTAAATGTTCAGTACGTTTAGTATTACCAAACGATATGCATAATCTTAGATCCTGTTTACCACTGTCTGTTAGTCAAGCATGTCATAACCACACTGGTCTCACCAGCTCAGACTGCCAATCCCATCAAAGAGTTGTTTGGCATCCAACTTCACATAGGCTGTTCAAGAACCCTAGTTGTGCAAGTTGTGAAGGCATTGCTGGTAAAATCTCTTCAGGCGTTCATAACTGCGTACAGAAGTATAGAATAAGCAGTTTTTGGCCTTCCACTGGCGGCGTCATGTTCAATTTCGACTTCAGTGGAGCCACGTTAAATTCGGATGGAAGGGTTCTAGTTCCTCATATTCAATCTTGTAAAATTGATGAAGTGTACGATGAAGTATTTGATTTATGTAGTAGATTGTATTGCCCGTCAGGATTTGCACCTATTAATGGAAACTGTGTCACACGCCGGAAAATGCACGAGGGAAGTTTTATTATTAGTATAGGATATAATGATTCGGGAAATGTTAACGACACTGAGAAATTAGTTCAACGATTAGAGACAGAGCTAAGTTATTACAGCTCTAGTTGGCATACCAGGAAGCAAAAGGATTATTTGATTCATATACGGTTCCGTTCCAATTTCTCTGTCTCTATTTTGCTGACGTCAGTTATGGAAGTAATAACACAGTTTGGGATTGGAACAAGTGACTCAATAATAAATTTAATGTTTGGAACATCTGGATCTTGTAGAAATATTACTCGGATCGAATCAACCAGTGACTTTCTGGAATTCATGGCAAATAAAAGCGATAATGTAAATTTTAGAGCAATTCTCATTCCCATCGAAAACCAAAGTGTAGAAATTTGCTACCATAGAACGATGCCGAACTGTACGTCTATCAAGTATGAAGAAGGCCAATTCTCTGTACACAATGATACAGTTCAGATCAGCGACTCCGGGCAACTGTATTCCGAGGATGAATTTGTCATTTACAAAAATTCGGTGTATATTTGTAGAAACCTGAGTAGGTATTACACTGATATGTTATGGGAAAAATTCTTCAGTGTAACAATCGATTCAACGCTTTCTGCTGTTGTAGTTGGCGTATCGATAACATCATGTTTGATGACGCTCCTTGCTTATTTGGTCCTTCCGCATCTTAGGAATGGTCCTGGGAAAATCATCATGTCCATGACACTATCATTGCTTCTCGCTCAGTCTTTTGGAAGAATTTTCCAATTGCTTACAGACCCAACGAATTGCTCTATATTTGGAGCTATCACTCACTCATTGTGGTTATCTGTTTTTCTGTGGACAAGCGTTATGATGGTAGACATTGCCAGATCAATGCGTATTTCTGGACAAACTGTCACGGCTACAACAAAGTATGTAATTTATGCTGCGATGGCTTGGCTGTTGCCAGCGTTAGTCGTAGCATTATTATCCACTTTAGATGGACTTGATGTTGCATACTTCGGCTATGGGTACTCTTATGGTAATAATTGCTGGATTATAGATCCAAATCTAGCATTTTATACCGTAGGTATACCAATGATACTCTGTATGATTATTAATACCATTGGATTTATCATTATAATTGCAGCATTGATTCCCAAAGCTAAAGTTTTAGGTAAAACAGTGTTAATGAGCAGAAAACGGCAACTAGCGAAGATATTTTTCAAATTGTCTATGATAAATGGCGGCACTTGGTTTATATTATTATTGGCAAATTTGACGCAGCTGGAATTTATGTGGTATCTTAATGTTCTTTTCAATGGACTGTCTGGCTTGTACATATTCCTAAGTTTCGTTTGCAATAAGAAAGTTTTGACAGCATTGAAAGAAAAATGTCTCCTACGATCTAGAAGTCAGACTTTGTATACAACTCATTCATGAACTGAAAGGCCTAATTCCTTCTATTCATAATCTTGTAACAATTTCACGGTAGGAAAAATGTCAGACCAGCTATTATTTTAGAGTGCTTGAATTAAAGGTCATACATTATAGTCTTTGAGTTTTTCTTCAAACCAACTTCTTTATTGAATCGAATGTCCATATTCTGATCTTTACATTTTACTCGTACTCGAGGATATCCTCTCATTCACCACAGTATCTGGTCACCCATAACAGTATCTGGTCATTTACCACAGTATCTGGTTACCTACCACAGTCATTGGTTACGTAGACCTCCAAAACGGTGTTGAGTTGTCAAATACTGTTACCAGTAACCAGATACGGTGATGATTAGATACTATGGTGGTCAGATACTGTAGTGAGTCACGAGATACAGTGGTAGTAGCCAGAAACTGTGTTGAGTGACAAGATATTGTTGTGAATAACAAATACTGGTGGGTAGTTGTAATATGTGGATACTGTGGTGAGTGACCAGTTATTGTGTAGTTAGCGTATACTGCGGTAATAATCTGGTAACTCATCACAGTATCTTATCACCAAGTACAATATAGTTCCATATTATATTGCCATTGAACCTCTTAACTGGTCACTCATTACATCACATGTATCTAGCCTTTAATGTTACTCATTATCCACATTATCTGGTTACCTAAATATCTTGTCATGTTTCACATCTCTTACCCATATCTGGCCAATCATTGCAGTATCTGGTTACTCACCATACCACTGTATCTGGTCACTCACCATACCACTGTATCTGGTCACTCACCATACCACTATATTAGGTATCTCACCATACCACTGTATCTGGTCACTCACCATACCACTGTATTAGGTAATTCACCATACCACTGTATCTGGCCACTCACCATACCATTGTATCTGGTCACTCACCACAGTATCTGGTTACTTATCACAGTATCTGGGTAGTTACTTATCACAGTATCTGGTAATTCACCATGCCATGGCAGTCATTGCAGTATCTGTTTACACACTACAGTATCTGGTCACTCATCGCGGTATCTTGTTACTGCTTTCACCTCAAATACAATCTGAGATGCCAAAAGATGGGTTCATTAAAGGGTCATAGCATTGGAAAGGTTTTTTTTAAGGATTTCTATTATAAATACGATTTGTCGAGAATTATTACCCTGTAGTGTCAAGAATAACAGATGGTAAATGGATGTGATGCAAATTACAGCTAGAAGTAAAATTGATGCATATTCAAAAGCTATAATACCTCTTATGAGCCTCTTTAATCTTCAATATCAATCATATCTTGATTGAAAACAAAACTCTGTAATAATTTGAGGATTATAATGAGCATATTGATTAGAACCATTTCTTACACTCCAGCAATTGTATGAAGTAGAGTTTCACATGGATTGGTCTGTAGACGAACCTCATTTATTATCAATGTTCAGGTCAGCCAAGTATCAATTACTGAGCCATTTACTCATCAACTTCAACTTTATATATTGATTTTCAAGATAGTTAGAGAAAATTATTTCAAGTATTGACATGTATAAGTCAATTAAAATTGGAATGAAATTCATTAGACATGCTAAAAAATAATAATAAAAAAATCAAATGACAGAGGTAATATTATACTTTTAAAGAGATTGTAAAGAGGTTTCTAAATTGTTTATGTGTATCGCGGACACTAATAGCATCAATTTGCACTATTACTATTGTCATATAAATTTTAGAAAACCTGTTGACAATGGCTTTAAGATATCATGCATCATTTATACTATAAAGTTTTTTTTCTCATACAGAAATTTCGAGTAATTGTGCATGGCTTATTTCGTCGTTAGAATTTAATTTCCGCTTGCGAAACAATTTCTGAATGAAAATTTAGTTCGTCTACAAATAATTGTTAAGGGATTGCTATAGCAAGCGGAAGTGTCGACAGTCCAAGTTCCCAGACCGCTCTTATCGTTGCTCTAAGCAAGTTAGTTTATAGTGATATTTCATAATTATGAACGAACCCCAAGTCTAATGTATGTTTTGAAAGGTGTGGTTGGCTATATTTGCGTTATATCGTCTCTGACGACGAATATACATTTAGAATATTAATTTAATGGAAGAAAGGATTGTAAAAGAGTCTGATTATTGTTTCTATACAAAAAATAAAATTACACAATTTAATCTAATTTCAAAATGTCATGTTAATGTCGTCGACTGTTCAAAAACTGGAATAATGTCAACTGCAGATGTTGATTTTTGAAAGAATATTTTGATAGGATGACAAGCGTGGGTTTTCTTTAAAAGTAGCGTTGAATATAGACGTTAGACCTCGAGATCTCCATTTCATTCTTTCAATGCACTACAGTGCAAAATGAGAAAAATTTTTATAGAACAGTAGCATCACTTTATTGAATGAATTTTTTTCGATGAAACACACAATGACGTTATTAATATTATACTGCATTATTTAAATGTTGACAGAACTGCATAAATCTATAATCTTAAAGATGGTCTTCCTTATTTTTGTGTCCAATTAGGCAATCTATTATATATATAATCATATACTCTTAATCATATCATTAATGCATATATGATTAAGAACTTTAACCAATCATAAATGAACATGTATGTACTGTCTGGATAAACAAAAAAAGACTCTTGACAAATCTTGATCGGTCACTCATTGGAATTCTGCTGGTAATTCTCTTCTAATTTAGCTAATTATGAATTAATTATGGACATGTGAGACAAACTGGTATTTTTCCAATTCATTAGAACACCTCTACTTTCTATTCATCTAAGTATTAGAATTCTCATTTTCATAAATGAAAATAAGGGACCCATCTTTAAGGTTATGCAAATGTCGTCGAAAGTTATTATTTGCAGACGTTCAAATTTTCCTAAGGGATTTCTGATTTGACAACCTGCATTAGACTACACTTTTACCCCATTTGAACATCTCTTAAGGCGAGATTTGAATGAATTTTCTTCAATGAAAAACGCAATGATATTATTGTAGGCTACTTCTTTAATTTCTTACTTTGACAAAAACAGTACAAATTTGAAGTTGTGTCATGTAATCACGAAGTACGTTCGAACTCACAAATATTCCCTACATTTCCATGACAACGTAAAAAGTAAACATTAACTGCTTGAAAGAAGCTATTGAAAGTCTTCATTGTAAATGATAAAATAATTTAGAAGTTCCAACAAACCAGGTTTTAATCAGTCCTGAAGGTAATATTGCCGACCGGAGATTAGAATACTTTTATCAAAGTACATTGTGCTTTTTATTTTCATACTTCTGATTTTCTCCTTAAAATCATCTTCGTGAACTTTGCAACATACATAGGAATACGATCAAGTATCTTATTATACACAATAAATTTGCTGATTCTTACCAACCTTCATCTTCACAATATGAAACTATTACGTCCACCTTTCTAGTATAACGGAAGATTATAAATGCAGTGATTTGATTGGATTGCACACTAGCAAATACAGCCAATCAGAGGCCTTGACAAAAAGTCTGTAAACACTAAGCCATAATATTTACAATCAAATCGCTGCAATACATGATACACTTAAGGCGGATATTGGAGCAAGCTATTTACCGACAGTCGTTATAGCTTGACATTGTATAAGATGGCCCACCTTTTGATATATTTTGATGTTACGGTCTAGACTGAGTCCTATTTCATGAAAAATCTTTCATGTTTTTCTTCAATGTTCAGTTTCACACTAAAGACAAATGTTTAGCGACGTAATATTTTTTTGAGAACCTGGTTTTCAACAACATTACATAAACTACTGCTAAAATACATCGTGTGTCTATAAATTCCCTCGCAAGGGTTTTTGTGAGACGAGATCCACTATCCATGAATACTATGTCCAATCAATCGTATAAGGTGGTCAGAAGGTGGAAAGTTGTATTATCTCTACACTTTGATGTAGGTGCTATAAATTTTAATAAATATCAAGCCGTTATGACATTTTATTGTAAACTATTACACACTTTCGTATTTTCATTGTCTGGCTACAAAAAATTTAACAAGAAAAATGATCTCAGACGTGAAATTAGCAATGTCACTTTTCAAATCATTATACTTTTTTATTCTTTCCCTTATCAGCTTGAAACCAACAGTTTTAAAGTCATAACGTCGTAGTAAATAATTTGTTAAAGATCGCCATTTTCGGGGGTTGGTTTGCCTTTTGAATATATGTAAATAGTCTTTAGAACTTCGAGATATGTACAAAATTGCGTCATGCTTTCAAAAATAGGTCTCAAGAAGAGAACTTCAAACGCCAATAATTCTGGAGATTTGTGAATACTATGGTATTAGCCCAACTGAAGAAATTCCCGTTTCTGAGACTAAGGTATGATTGGTTAAACGGATGGCGAACATGTCCCTTTAAAGACATTCGTCCTTCTAAATCTATGCTTGCCAATAGATACCGCTTTTTAGATAATCAAAGGTGAAAAAAAAAACACTTTTGGCTCCAATTTCGAAACCAACATAATACAGTAATTTGATTGGTTAATCAAACGAAATTTAAAATCAATTTCAGTTTAATTAAAATATAATGCATTACTGATATTAAATAAAATTAATTTATTTACAAAATTTAACTATCTGTATCGATCTGAATGTATATGCATGCGTACTATTTGTCGTATTACCATTATGAAAAGTGATTCGGGTAATAAGTACAATGTATTCGTTTCTCAAATTAATGTCTGAAATTAAGTGATATGACGACTCTAAATAATCGACCATCAATAAATGAGTTAAAATTCAACCTTAATGACACGGATTGGTGATAATTGGTCTAATCAGTCGGCACATTCTAAACCTTCGAGTCATAGTTTGTTCAGAATTACTCGTATTCAAGAAGAAAAAAATGAACAACTTTGAACATAAAAATGATTAACTTTTGAATTGGAAATTTGACGAACGATTGCAAGTGTATTTGTTTGCAAATTTCTAAAAGATCAGAATCGGAATACTTTT